TTAAGGCATTCCCAAATGACTTCAGTTACCTTGGAGGAAGCAGGTTAATTTATCTCCCTATTATGCCTACTACTTGGCTGCCATACCCTGAATCTAATAAACACAGATTAACCTTGAGGGAAGCTTTAAGCAGATTTTTGCTCAAGATTGCAGTGATAAGGGGCAACTGTGTGGCTGTCATTTGGGTGTCTGCCTTCAGCTTAGGTCATGATCCCGGGGTCCTGGGATCGAGCCCAGCACCCCTGGGCTCCCTGCTCGGTGGGGAGTCTGTTTCTCCCTCTCCCTCTGCCCCTCCCGCTCCACTTGTGCTCTCCCTCTCTCAAATAAATAAATAAAAACTTAAAAAGAAAAAAAGACTCCAGTGATAAATCTAAGCAGTACAGATTGGGATTGGGGTCTGGGGACCACAGACTCATCTGCCCTTTGACCACTTCTGAAGTCTCCCAAGAATTCCACTTTTTTTCTTCCCCAGGCCTCCACTGCAGGTCCCCCATGAACATTCCTCCTTTCCAACATGACTTTCTGCCAGTTACTAGAGCCCTTTCTTACTTAAATTCCTTTTTTCATCCTGAAGTTTTTGGCCTCAGTTCCCAGGGTATAGTCTCCTCCCTGCCAAGATCAATCAGTTGGAAATCAGATTGCTAGTGCTAAAGTTGGACTTTGTAGTGTTGGGGATAATTGGTGCTAAAGACAGAGCTACAGTTGGTGTATTAATGATAAGTATTAGAACTGAGGAGTTGGGGTCGCAGTGGTTTATTAATAATCTGGTGACATCCACAATTTTTATAACAATCCATATAAAATTATAATATTTCTTTTTAAAAAAGATTTTATTTATTTTTTAAAGTGAGAGAGAGAGAGTGTGTGGGGGGGAACAGAGGGACAGGGACAAACAGACTCCACTCTGAGAGTGGAGCCCAATACAGGGCTCAATCCCATGACCCTGAGATTATGACCTAAGCCAAAATAAAGAGTCAGACCTTTAACTGACTGAGCCACCCAGGCACCCCAGAACCATATTTCTTTTAATTGAATGTAACCTAAAATTTTTATTTCATTAAGTATATGCCTTGTGATGTTCAGTTCTGGCATTCTCTGTAAGTATAAACCATTCTGTCCTCTGCCTGATTTCTGTTGCTGATTTGCCATAGAATTGAGGACGTTAAGGGTATAGGGTGTTTCCTATTACAGATAGAATTTTGCTTTATCCAAAAATTGAAGAGAAATAACCCAGAAACATTACTAATTAAGAGGTTTAATTCCTCCTAAAACCTCTCAGGGAGTTGATATAAAAAAGCTCATCTCTTTTCCAAACTCGTCTTTAGCTTAATGTAAATACAGATGGATGGGGCGCCTGGGTGGTGCCTTCAGTTAAGCGTCTGCCTTCGGCTCAGGTCATGATCCCAGGATCCTGGGATCAAGCCCCGCATTGGGCTCCCTGCTCAGATGGGAGCCCGCTTCTCCCTCTTCCTCTTCCTGCCGCTCCCCCTGCTTGTGCTCTCTCTCTCTGTCAAATAAATAAATAAAATCTTTTTAAAAATGCAGATGGATACAAAAACAACTATAGACGTAGATACACATATAAGTAGACATATGTACACATGGGTTAGTATACATAGATATATTACCTAGTTCAGTCAGCTGAGAGGACCTAGACACAATGATACCCCAGTATCAATGACCACATCAGTGCCCAGTGGGCACCCAGTGCCCATATCTTGGTTTCTAATGAGAGACAGAGAGAACACAAGCAGGGGGAGAGGCAGAGGGAGAGGGAGAAGCAGACTCCCCCGCTAAGCTGGGAACCCGACATGGGGCTCCATCCCAGGACCTGGAGATGATGACCTGAGCCAAAGGCAGAGGCTTAATCATCTGAGCCACCCAGGCGCCCTGAGATGTGTTCCCACTTAAAACTTTTTTTCTATTACATCTTAGAATGTTTGGCCTTTCCTACTTTTAGCTATATATCTTTTCATATGATTTATTCCTTTACAACTAATTTTGTATGTTTTTAAATGAATTTTTTTACTGTTTAAAAAGTAATAAATGTTCATTGTGACAATTAAAGGGAAGTGTAAAGAAAAGAATTAAAAATCTCAATGGGGGGATGCCTGGGTGGCTCAGTCAGTTAAGCTTCTGCCTTCAGCTTGGGTTGTGATCCCAGGGTTTTGGGATCAAGTCCCACATCGGGCTCCTTGCTCAGCGGGGAGCCTGCTTCTCCCTCTGCCTGTCACTCCCCCTGCTTGTTCTGTCTCTGTCTCTTTCTTTGACAAATAAATAAAAATCTTTTAAAAAAATCCCAATGGGTTTCTTAATTTTGAATATTAATTGAAAGAGCTGAAATCAGAATACCTGGGTGGCTCAGTCAGTTAAGCATCTGACTCTTGGTTCTGGCTCAGGTCATGAGCTCAGGGTCGTGAGATGGAGCCCCACATGGGGCTCCATGCTTAGCACGGAGTCCTCCTTCTCCCTCTCCCTCCTCCTCTGCCCCTCCCCCTGCTCATTCTCTCTTGCTCTCGCTCTTGCTCTAAAATAAATAAAATCTTAAAAAAAAAGCTGAAATCTTTAACTTATTTAAAACATTCCTACAATAACTATGGTTGACTCTTGAATAACATGGGTTTGAACTACACAGGTCCACTTACACAAGGATTTTCTTTATAAATATGGTATGACACTGTAGATGTGTTTCTCTTAGGATTTTCTTCATAATATTTTCTTTTCTCTAGCTTACTTTATTATAAGAGTATAATATAGGGGTGCCTGGTGGCTCAGTCAGTTAATCATCTGCCTTGATCCCAGGGTCCTGGGATCGAGCCACCCATGATCCCAGGGTCCTGGGATCGAGCTCTGCATTGGGCTCCCTGCTCAGCTGGGAGCCTGCTTCTCCCTCTCCTCCCTGCTAGTGCTCTCTCTAGCTATCTCTGTTGCTATCTCTGTCTCTGTCTCTCTCAATTAAAGAAATAAAATCTTTTAAAAACTCTATAAAAAAGAATATAGTCTATAATACCTATAACATACAAAATATGTATTAATCAACCGTTGTTTATGTTATCAGTAAGGCTTTCCATCAATAGTAGGCTGTTAAGTGTTTGAAGAGTCAAAAGTTATACACAGATTTTTAACTGTGCAGGGGTTGGCGCCTTGAACCCCCGTGTTTTTCAAGGGTCAACTGTACATTGGTAGGTAAAATGACCCATTGATATTTATTAATATTTGAATGCTTTTGTAGGACTTTTTCATCTTCTCTTAGTTTTCTATTGCTCCATAACAAATCACCACAAATTTGGCAGCTTAAAGCAACATATTTACTATCTGACAGTTTCCATGGATCAGGGGTCCAGGCACAACTTAACTGGGGCTCTGCTCCAGGTCTCAGAAGGCAGTAGTCAAGATGTGGGACAGGCTGTGTTTTCATCCGGAGGCTTGACTGAGGAAGAATCTGCTTCCAAGCTTATTCAGAGTGTTGGCAGAATTCATTTCCTTAAAGGCCCTACCTTCTTGCTGGTTGTCGGCTTGAGGCTCCCCACAAGTCCTAGACGCCACCACTAGTTCTCTGCTATGTGGTCCTCTCCATCTGCAGTTCATATGGCTGTTTGCTTCCTCAAGGTGGCGGGAGAGCCTTTTAGCCCCACTCTGCTAAGCTAGAGTCATAACATAACATAATCACAGAAGTGGTGCCATTTCATCACTTTTACTATATTCTGTTAGTTAGAAGTAAGTCACTGGTTCTATCTGCACTCAAGGTGAAGGAATTATACACAGACATAGACACCAGGCAGAAGAAGTTACTGGGGGGTCAGGTTAGGTCTGAGCTCTCATTTCCTCATCTAAACTGGAATAGTTCGTAAGGAAGTTTGTGAATGTTCTTCTAACAGCAAAGAGAGTTTGACATCTTCAATCTCAACCGTCTTATTTTATAGACAGGGAATTGAGGCTCCAAAAGAGTAAATGGTTTGCCTAAGTTTGGTGGATGAGTTCAGAGTTGTTTACTCCCAGGTCAGCATACTTTCTACACATCGTGATGTTAATGAAGTATTTTATAGTATTTTCACTGTACACTTCAGCAAAATAAAATATATATGTATTTATTGGTAGGCAAGGCAGAAAGTGGGTGCAGGCATTATAAAGAATGTTGCATGTACACTGTCCAGTATGGCAGCCACCATGTATATTTGCGTTTTCTGGGTGTGATCAGATGCAAGAACCAGTGAGTGAAAAAGAATTACGTATGCTCAGGGCAAGACCAGTACATACCTTATTTCATTTAGTCATCCCAAAGACTCTATAAAGTAGCAATTATTATTCTACAGATTAAAAAAAAAAACAGGCTCAGTGAAGGCAACTAAATTATTCTGGGTGCTGGTAACCAACAAATTACAGTGACCAAATCAAGGCCAAATATATTGCTCATTTCTGGCCCATCCCATTTCTCTATCACTAATTTCTATGATTAATTTACAATCCTGTGAAATTTTTCATAGTCTCTACAGCCCTTGCCTTTTTCTTTTTGCCTGTTTAAGTCTTGCCACGCTTGGTACCTCTAGGTGGGAGGAGTTCATAATAATAGACTGCTAAATCTTCTAGCCCTTTTACATGCCTCTATCTTCCGGTTTAGTCGTGTTGCCGTAAATAAGCCTAGGAAAACCTACTTCGTAAATGGTTTCTGGTCCATATGTTAAGTAACTGAATTTGTGTAAGTCTAAAAGTTCAAAGCAGTAACGAACCACAAATAGGCTTTAAAATTTTTTGAATCCCAGTTCCTTTTCTTGATCTCCTTATTTATTTCTGGTAACCACTTCTCATTCAAGGCATACTTAAGGAACTAAAAGAATTCAGAGAGATTTAAAGTAGGAATAGCCTCATTATTGAGTGTTTATAGACTATTTTTTCTCTTTTGATAGTGTTCAGGGGAAACCTAACTTTCTGGGGGATGTGGGATTTTTTTTCCCCCTACGTAGTGCATTCTTCTAACATATATTTGGCATTAACTCCCCCAGTTTTTTTTTTCCGGGGCACCCTAAACCACTAGTTTACAGTACTAAACGCAACCCACCGCCGTGCGGAACCGTTCAAGGTCACGCGAGCAGGTGCCCGGCCAGGGACCGGAATGCGCACTGCCAGGCCCATTTCCTTCTCCAAAGTCGGCGCTCGATCTCTGCCCACCTTTGGGGGTCACCCAGCCTGACTGCGACCAGACCACCAGACCGGGAGACGCAGTCCGCCCCCCGCCCCGGTGGCCGCGCTCGGAACCGCGCCTCTGGAAGGTTCCTGAGTGACTGACGGGTGGCGGGGCTGGTGGCTCCGTGAAAGCTGGGGCGGAGCCGGCGGCGACCAGCGGCGGTGCTACGCCTCCCGGGGCCGCTCGGCCGCGCCCGCTGGCGGAAGCTGCGCTCTGCCTGCTAGAGACGCTCTGCTCAAGGGTCCCGGGCGGTGCCGCGGCCGCCTTCCGTGGCCCGCCGGCGGACGGGCCTCCCACCGCAGGACCATGCAGCGCTTAGCGATGCACCTGCGGATGCTCTCCAGGGAGCTCTCCCTCTACCTGGAGCACCAAGTCCGAGTTGGGTTCTTCGGCTCGGGAGTAGGCTTATCCCTGATCCTGGGCTTCAGCGTCGCTTACGCCTGCTATTACCTGAGCAGCATTGCCAAGGTGAGCCAGGGGTTGGCGCGGGCGCGGGGGCGCAGGGCCGCGGGGGGGCTTGCTGGGAGCGACAGCAGCCGGCCAAGCTGGAACTGCCGCCGCAGGCGCGGGTGGCTAGGGCCGCCCTGGAGGCGAGAGTGCCGCTGCTCGCCTGTTGTTGCGCTTTCCCGGGCACCTCACGGACGCCCTTTGAGCGCGGGCGGGAAAGGGGGCCAGCTCTTGTCCTCCTGCCTGTGGGTCCGGCCCGGGTCCTTGGACAGCAGCCAGGACCCGGCTGACCCAGGCGCAACGGTACTGCCCTGTCACCGTGCGCTAGCCTGGCAATGCTGGAGCACTTCTGAGAATGACTCCCTCATCTCAACTCTTGCCTTCCTCTCTTCAAGGCTTTGGTAAATCACTCTTTAAGTCCGTTGTGACTGCGATGTGTGTGAGGCTTCTCGAAGGAGATGTAATCGGAGGGAGCGCGTGCGCGAGGGACGAGTCTGCTCATTTCTGGTTTACGGTTGGCAGAACTTTGTTCTGGACCCTTCACCATAATACTGGCTTTCGCCCACAGAAGCCCCAGTTAGTGACGGGGGGTGAGAGCTTCAGCCGCTTCCTCGAGAACCACTGTCCGGTGGTGACAGAAACGTACTACCCGACGGTCTGGTGCTGGGAGAGTCGAGGACAGACACTCCTGAGACCTTTCATCACTTCTAAGCCCTCGGTGCAGTACAGGAAGTAAGTATATTTCCATTTGCCGTCATTTCTTCAAAACCACGGGGTTTTTGGCATACTCCCAGTCCTTGGTTAACCTTTGGTTGGTCAGCATATAGAAAAGAAAGGGGATTGAAAATGGAAGGTTTGCCCCCTCGCCCCCACCCAACACACACTCAGTTGCAGGAAAATATTCAGGTATTGCCTTTCACCGTGTGTGTGTGCGTGCGCGCGCGCGCGCGCTCGCAAGCGCCCGCACGCCTTGATGTAACCGGTTTATTTCTAGAGAAGTGTTTGAGGGTTACCCTTTTCCAATTTGGCATGCATCTGTCCCTGAGGACCTAGATCCTTTGATGATATATACCAACTCACTGATGCTGGGAGTGGGGATGGGGTGGAGAACGATGCCAATTAATTTGGATTTTGCATGATGGGCTCCTGTAAAAGGATTTCATATTAATAAGCAGATGGGTTCTTGATGCTAATGTCCTTGAGGTGTTAAAGATATGATCCAGAATTTCTCAGTAATCAGGAGATTTAGATGGTGCCTACTATTAATTTCCCTGAGTCATCTAGTCTTTCTGGAGTTCCTTTTGTTGCCTGGAATTTGCACTATTTGGGAAAATTCTTTAAGTTCATAGATACTGTGTGAGAAGTACTTTAAAATATTTAAGAAGCAAATTTTATAATATACTCTGTGGAGAGACTACATTACTGAGTCAAAGGGCCAGAGCAGTGATCAGATCAGCACTTTACTTATTCACAATTCCCTGATGAATTATTTGGGTGACCTCAATCAAATAGGGCTGGATATTTTAGAGTAATGAGGAAATGATAAAGGTAAATATGTGAAGTACTTTGTAGTTCATTTTTATATGCTGCCTTTTTGTGGTGTTGCTGGAAATACGTTATGGTACTAATCTCATATCATTCTTGTAATAAGAGAGTGATATAAGTGTGTGTTAGTGAATGCTGAAAAAAAAGTTCTTTTCAGATGACCAAATCATGTCATATATTTATAAAATTAAGACACTAATTTTAAGACATGACTCGAAACACTTAATGAGTATGTCTTTTATTCCTTTCAGTGAACTTATTAAAACTGCAGATGGCGGACAAATTTCACTGGACTGGTTTGATAATTGTAACAGCAAATGTTATATGGATGCCACCACCAGACCTACTATCTTATTGTTGCCTGGCCTCACTGGAACAAGCAAGGAATCGTATATCCTTCATATGATCCATCTTAGTGAAGAATTGGGATACAGGTACCAGTAAAAGATTTATTCCATTTTTCACGTAATTTGTCCTAAATGAAGCACAAATCTATCTCTATGTTTGTTTCAGAAATACTTGTTATTTTTTGCATGGATTAAGCAGTTGCCTAGATTATTATTTTTCTCTGCTTCCTCTTTTGCCTTTCTTTTTTCCCCCAGGAAGATGCATAACTGAATCATCTCATAGGAAATAGCACTTAGCCTAGTAGATACTAAGCAGATTTTGGATGAATGAATGAATGAAATTAGTATCACCTAGGAATTGACATAGGACCCAGGTCTGAGGAGCAGTAGGCCCACTGAAAGCAGTGCTATGGAAAATAGCCATTACAAACCCCTGAGAGAGTACATAGTGATCCTCATGTCTTGTTCCATATTTGAGCCCTGAATCCACTAATCTTGTCTTATTGGCTCAGACCTCAAATGTAAAAAATATTCAGAATCATCTTGTAGGTGAGCCTTATTTTTCCAAAGGTGATCCATGCCTCTTCTGTCCACCTGAGTTTGCAGATACACATAACGAATGTCCAGTCGATGATGCCATAGTATTCTTTAGGAACCATTATTCAACTTAGTCACCAGGTACAATTTCCCTTTTTACAAGTGACTTAGCAACTTTAAATTTCAGATTCAGCTCTAAAATCTTAAAGCAGAGTCATTGTGAAAAGTACTGCTTTTTTGTGTCTTTTATAGCTGATGGTAATTATTATAATGGAACACTCTGAGTTGCATTTAAAGTAGAGTTGTATCTTTTGTTCAAATTGAAACACTCTGTGTGAAAAAATGATGTAGAGTTTATATTAATGAAAACATTTTATGTAAGTGGGGAAATACCGTAAGAACTAATTCAATTTTAACAAGTTAACTCTGATCTTGTATAGATAAAACCTATTTTGTGCATGAAATGACAGTCTCTCAGACATTTTGATAGATGTACCAGAATTATTGTTCTTGTGAAATTTTCACTAATAGCAGGAATTCTTCATTATTCCATGTTTAGCATCATCCAGTTAGATGTGAGGCTTGATTCCAATTTTTTGCTAAAATTTAGTCATGCTCAAAAAGTACAGATCATAAAGCCTATTGTGCATATTTAAATTGCTGATTCTATACTTGGCCTGAGCCGTCTCCCAAGACAGGAAGTGCTTTTAAAAACAATGTAGTTGAAACTCAAGGACTAAATTTCATAAGCCCTGGAGTTGCCAGTACACAAGGCAGTTTTCCATCATTTGCAAAAGTTGCCAAATTTTATGACCATGGCTATCATTACACTGTGCTTCAGAGCTTTTGGAAGATTCTAGCTCCCCTGAGGGTTAAAATCTCTTCTGTTGGTTCAGAAATTTTGTGGAGAATGTATGATATAAGGAAGGTTTTGTGCTAGATACTTCTCACAACAAAGAGTTGTGAGAAGTTGTCCTTGCCACAAGGAGCCTGTGAGAAGAGTAGGCTGGACAGTGTCCCTGTCAGCTGCTGTGAAGACCCACCTTATTTGGGTTTCAGTAACTCTAACAGTGAATTAGACTGGGCTTGAAAGTAGCAGAATACATGAATAAGCAGTGGTCTGTAAACTTTTCAGTGGCCTTTTGGACTATCCCCTTTTGTTCTTAACTACAAGAGGATCACTGAATCTAAGTTGGAGAGGGTGTATCAGTTAGCTTTTGCTGTATAACAAACTATCCCAAAACTTAGTAACTAAAAAAACAACCATTCTGCTCATAATTCTGTGGTTCTGGAATTTGGGCTGAGCAAAGCTGGAGGGTTCTTCTGCTCTTGGCTGGGATCGTTCATGCATTTGAGGTCAGCAGCCAGGACAACTCCATGCATGGGGGCCCTCAGCAGGGATGACGCATCTCAGCTCCATGTGGCCCCTCATCCACCATCAGGCTCACCCCGAGTTTGTTCATTTGGTGGCAGAGGGTTCCAAGAGTACAAATGTAAAAGCTTCAAGGCTCCTTGAGGTTCAAGCTAAGAACTCTCATAACGTTGCTTCTGCCACATTCCAGTCCAAGCGAGTCACGTGGTCAACCCAGAGTTGAAGAGTAGGGAAATAGACTCCACCTCTTGATAGAAAGGCCTACAAAATATTTTTGCAACCTACCAGAGACAGCAAGGCAGTTCTGAAGACCACTGAAGTAAAAAAAAAAAAAAAAGATCTGGAACTTTGGCAGAAGGATGGGTTGAGTCCTTTGAGGCTGTGTAATATAGGAATATGTGTGTGGGATTTGGAGCTGGGTCTGTGTTCACATGTTGGAACTTCTACTTACTGAGTGACCTTGGCAATTAATTTTTAAATTTACCAATTACAGCTTCTCATTTACTACAGACAGTTTAAATGAATTAGAATATATAAAGTACTTGGTTTAGTGACCTGAACAAAGTGGGTCTTTAGGAATGTTTATGTTTTCCAAATTTTTTTTTTTTAAGATTTTATTTATTTATTTGAGAGAGAGAGAGTGAGAGACAGAGAGCATGAGAGGGAGGAGGCTCAGAGGGAGAAGCAGACTCCCCGCCGAGCAGGGAGCCCGATGCGGGACTCGATCCCGGGACTCCAGGATCATGACCTGAGCCGAAGGCAGTCGCCTAACCAACTGAGCCACCCAGGCGCCCAGGAATGTTTATGTTTTCCTTCCCAGACCTTCTATTCCCTGATCAGAATAGAATACTTTTTATAATTTAAAGAGCAAGTACAAGCAAACCTACCTCTTGGGATATTTTAACATCTAGTTTGCTTACAGGAATGCTTTGATTGTATTATAATGTCTCTTACACAGTAGAGTTTCATAGGCAGTACAAATTCCTCAATACCTTGGGGGTGTATAACCTTCAAGCCCCAGTTACTATCTTGTGTAAAGGCTGAATGTGGAGGGAGGGTCGGGTCACCAGAGAACTGTTGCTGCTTCGCTGCTGAGATATGATTTAGACATTAGAGAGAACTTAATTCCTGGCATATGGATAAGTGAAACATAAGGGTTTACTACTGTTGCTGTTAAAAAATGTGTTATTCCTGTACCTGAAAACTGACAAAGACACAAAACTTCTCTGGTAAGTTTCACCCGTTCAGCATTAATAGCAGATGGGATAGAAACTAAACTGAAGTTCATTTAAGATCATTGTGAACAAAAGCTTTACCAGGAAGTCAAAGGGAAATGAATGGGGAATACATGGTCTACCTGCCTGCCCATCTTCATTGGCTGAGTGCAGTATGTGTTCCTTGGATAAACTTGCCCCTGAGGAGAGAAGAGAATTGCTGAGCCAGACAGCCTCAGTCATGCTTCCAAATTTTATCAGTCAGATAAGCCCTCCATCTCCTGGAGAATGAGTAAAGTAAGAAAGGCCAGGAGGCCAGGAGTGTGTTTAGAGAGAAGCTTCCCTCATAGAAATCAGAGGACTGAAGAAAAAGTTACACCCATATGATTGATAAAGTAGTTAGAAATCTTATCCATTCATTCAAGATTTTTTTTTTTAAATCTCTGTTTGGTAACACAGCCTAATAGACATTATTTTATGTACCTGAATATTATCTGTTTTCTTAAATCTTTTCCCCATTGTCTGAATTAGTTTTTAGCACTACAATTAAAAAGAGGGAGAAAAACTAACTTGAGAACATCCAAATCATCTTCTACTTTGACCTCTTTTATTGAGAGCCTTCATCTACTATTTTGTTCCACCCCCAACTCGTATTAAAAAGGGTGAACCATCCAGAATTATGTAATAATAAGTCCATTGAAATCTAGGTCAGTCATTAAGTATTTTTATCAGAATCTATATTCCCAAAGAGCATACAGTTTAGCTGAAGTGACGAAGAGTATGCAGTAGTAGGGAAGAAATGCATTAGAGAGAACCAGGACTAGCTACAAGTAACAGGAAACTCAAAATAACAGTGACTTTTTTAAGATTTTATTTATTTATGTGACAGAGAGATAGAGAGAGAGAACAAGTAGGCAGAGGGAGAGGAAGAAGCAGGCTCCCCGCCGAGCAGGGAGCCCGATGCGGGGCTCGATGCGGGGCTTGATGCGGGGCTTGATCCCAGGACCCTGGGATCACGACCTGAGCTGAAGGCAGCCACTTAACCGACTGAGCCACCCAGGCGTCCCAACAGTGACTTTAAAAAAAATTTTTTTTTTTTTAAGATTTTATTTATTTGAGAGAGAGAATGAGAGACGGAGAGCATGAGAGAAAGGAGGGTCAGAGGGAGAAGCAGACTCTTTGCTGAGCAGGGAGCCCGATGTGGGACTCGATCCTGGGACTCCAGGATCATGTCCTGAGCTGAAGGCAGTCGCTTAACCAACTGAGCCACCCAGGCGCCCCCCAACAGTGACTTTAAAAAGAAGTTACACCGGGGCTCTATAGTATCAGGAAGTGTTGCATCATAACCCATGGCTGCTCTAGCTCCAGCTATCACCTCTGCATTCCAACATCCAAAAAGGAGAAAAAAGACTGGAGAATTCACTATCTTTCTTTAAGGGTGCTTTCCAGCAGCTGTGCACACCACTTTTGCTTCTGTCATGTGGGCCTGCTCTTCCTTCAGCCTCAAGGGAGGCTTGAAAGTGAAAACTTTATTTTGGGCAGCCGTGTACTCAAGTGAAATTGGGAGATTCTGTGACAAAGAAAGAAGAGGAGGATGGATACTGGGAGATAACTGGCAGTCTCTAGCACTGAGTGGTCAGTGTTGCAAGTGCCAGGATTCTGGAATATCAGACACTGAATGAGACATTTTATGGAGGGAAGGAACAGGTCAGCAGTGCCAGAGGCAAGTGAAAGGGCAAGGAGAATGAGGACAGATAAAACAAAATTGGAGAAGATTCAGCAGGGCAATGAGGAGGGAAGCCCAACTCCTGAGGGCTACAGTGACCTCAGGAGACTAGAGCAGGAGTGGATCCCACATCCTATAAGTTTGACAGAGGAAGGAGGGAAACAGGAGAGGGGTCAGAAAAGAACGGAAGGACGAATGGAGGGATTTTTCAAGGTTGTGCGTGTTTGCTTCAAGAAATTTCCTTCTTGCCACATTGTTAAAACCACTTACAGAAAGCACAGACTTTTAAATGTGGTTTGACAGGATTCAGATCTTCTGTGTTTCACTGCGGAGCCCACCTATTGGTAGCAAGGTTGCCAATGTCCAGCATTTACATATTGGAAAGAAACTAGAAGTGGGAGATGATTTGAAAGAAGTTTTCAGTGTTCCTTTACATTCCAGTTTGGAGTTTGGACCTGTGCATTTCGGATTTAGGGCAGATATCACCAGTAGATACAAAGCTTTAAGTGACGCTTAGCTTTTCCTGCACTATCAGAAGGGCACTTGGAGGTCACCTACGCACTTTTCCTGGGGGAGGAAGGAAGGGGAGGCAAGGAAACAAAAGGGTGAGTTCTGACCTCACCCTAGTCTAAAAGCAGTATCTTAGGTAAGAAGTCACTTTAAATTAACACCAGGATGTGTTTATCTAAAAGTATTTTTTTAATCATTTTTTATTGTTGTTAAAACAATTTGACTTTTAAAGTTTTGAGAATGAGTTCAGTTAACTGATTATTCATGAGACTGGCTAGATGACATGATGCATACTAGGAAGCACTGGGTGAAGAGCTCAGCTTATTTAATGGTATTTCTGAAAAAAAGTTATGGTGGACACCGACAAGTGGTCTCATTCCCTAGGGAACTAATTGTTAGACGTTCCATGATAAAATGATACCTCAATTAACAAAGTTTCAGGGACAGAGTTTTTTTTTTTTTTTTTTAAATCATAGCTGACACGCACTCAAAGGGCACTTTGTATTCAGAGCACTCATCTTCTTTGGAAAAAGACCCGTTAATGTTACTAGCTTAGATAGCCCAGGGCCACAGAGTGAGGTAGTAAAGTGGATTATTGAGTCAGGTCTGCTTGGATTCAAGTCCCAACTCTGTTATACACTTCTGTGTATCCACAGACAAATTATTCAGTCACTCTGTACCTCTGTTTTCTCCTCTGTAAAGATCACTATACCTCATAGGACTGCAAGGATTACATATATATATATATATATATATATATATATATATATATATATATGCAGAAAGTCATCCTCCAATGAACATTTTAAAAAGTACTAGCTGTGAATCTTAAAGGAGCAAATCATATCTTTGGCGTGGGGAAGAGTCACACTCTTTTGGTCTGGTCAGATAGAAAGGACGTACTTACTGTCTAGTCCCTATTACCAGGCAAGAAACCATCCCAGGAGGGCCCAGAGACAGCAGAGTGCCTGGCCAGCCAATGAGTGGTACAGGGAGAAGGTAATGCCTTGCTAAGGTGGAGGGCCACTGGAACCTATATCCTAGAACACATACATGTTTCTGACTCAGTTTTGGCTCATAAAGTTGCCAGCAATAATCTGTGACACTGGAATAATTCCTATTAGTTCATACTATTAATGTAGAATACTTTTTTTTTTTAAGATTTTATTTATTTATTTATTTGACAGAGAGAGACACAGCGACAGAAGGAACACAAGCAGGGGGAGTGGGAGAGGGAGAAGCAGGCTTCCCGCTGAGCAAGGAGCCTGACGCGGGGCTCGATCCCAGGACTCTGGAATCATGACCTGAGCCGAAGGCAGACATTTAACGATTGAGCCACCCAGGCGCCCCAATGTAGAATACTTTTTATTAAGTGGGGTTTTCTGTAAGCTAGTTCAACTCGTTCTTTAGTTGACAGATCTACAGAAATACCAAAGAGACACAGCTAGAATTCAATGAGTTAGATAAAATCTGAGAACATCAGAAAGCAACATATATTCGTATGTTAGGGAAAATGAGAGAGCTAACTGGGAAAAAAAAAAAGATTCTAATAAAATGTTATAAGGAGATTCCTGAAAGAGAACTTAGCGCTAGTTTTATAGGGTTTTCAGCTTCTTCACATGAGAGATAACTTTAACTCTTTCTTCCCCTTGTGGTGACTGGTTTTAAAATATTATGCCGAAAAAAAAATGAATTGCATTAATTATTAATTTGTTGATTTTTTTTTTAATTCATAGGGCCAATCAGAACTTATGATCGGCAAGAGATAACCAGAATTGCCATTTTGGTTTACTATAATTAAATTTAGCTTTGTGTAGTACTTGCCACATGATAGGCCCCATACCAGGTGCTATACTTAGGTTGTCTTATTTAATATGTACCTAATTCCAAGAGATATATTATTATCCCCATTTTACCAACCAAAAACAAAACTACAGTGTTCATAATCTCACCAAAGTTAGACAGTTAATGTGTGACAAGGTTAAGATTCAACTGTACAGCCTTGTTACAGATAAATGTATGATTTTTCTTTTTTTTTTAGGTTCTTTGAAATGTTGATCATCCTTCAAAACTCTCCTTTACTCGGTGTCTCAGACTCTTGGCTTGGGAAAACTAGCTCCTGATTATTGTCTGTCAGAATAATGTAGACCTGTAGAATCATAGGACTCTTTCATCAGAGAAATTCAAGACATGACAGGCACACAAGTCATGTTTCATACTCAGGGAATAGATTTTGTAGGGAAAGAGTTGAAACAGGAGAATGAGGTTTTTGAATTACGAATTAAGTTTCACTGTTCTCCATTACTATGTGATAATCAGGAGTTGTGTGTGTAATACAGTCAATAATACAGTCTTGTTAATTATTGTGTTTGATTTCTGATGCTTTACATTCTAGAAAAAGGTACATGAGTTATATTAATCTGTTTTAATATCTTTATGACATTAGTTTGGAAATGTTCAAGTATTATAATTTTTTAAAAAGAATATGTGTTATGCTATTGGATGTAGTGTTGTATAAATGTAAATTAGGGTAGGATAGTTATAGTGTTAATCAGACTGTTTATATCTTTACTAACTTTGTTTTATTGATAGAAGGATGTTGAAATCAACTATGATTGTGGATTTTCTATTTCTCCATTAATTCTGTGAATTTGTGCTTCATGTATTTGGAAGCTCTGTTATTAGTCTTACATATATTTGTGGTTTTTAGTCTTCCTATGATTTAACTCTTTTATCATTATGAAATGTCTTTCTTTATCTCTGGTTGTGATGTCTGTCTGATATTACTGTAGCCACTCTAGCCTTCTTATACTTACTGTTTACATGATTTTTTTATACTTTAACTTTCAAAGTATCTGTGTCTTTATATTTAAAGTGTATTGCTTATAGATAGCACATAGTTGGGTCTTGGTCTTGCTTTTTTATCCAGTCTGACAATTTCTTTATTTTAATTAGATTTTTAACCCATTTACATTTAATGTAACTGTTGATATTGTGGATATAGGTTTACCATTTTCATGTTTGCTTTCTGGTTTTGTTGTTGTTGTTGTTGTTGTTGTTCCTTTATTCCTCTACCACTTCTCTTTCTCTTTTTGAGACTGAGTTTTTTGTCTTTTTATCAACCTTGGAAAAAATTTTGCTATTATTTATTCAGGTATTTTCCTGCTCCATTCTTTCTTCTCCTCTGGGACCGCAATTACATACATATGTGTTAGATCTTTTGATAATGTACCACAAAAACACTGAGGTTCTATTCAATTTTTTTCGATCCTTATTTCTCTTTCATCTTTATATTGGAACTGTAATTTGCAAGTCAATTGAATTTTTTATTCATATATTGTATTTTTCTGACCTAGAATTTCCATTTTTAAGAGGGTGTATTCCTCTGTTGAGATTTCCTATTTTTTAAATTCATTACAAGCTTATTTTCCTTTATGTCCTTCAGCATAGTTATAATAGCTGCTTTAAATCCTTATCTACTAATTCTAACATGTGGACATCTCAGGGTCAGTTACATTGACTGTCTTATCTTTTGAGTATTGGCATGTATTCCTGTTTCTTTGTGATCTAGTAATTTTGGATTGTATTCTAGACATTTTGAATGATCCATTGTAGAGACTTTAGATTCTGTTATATTTTTCCAAAGAAAACTGATTTTTGTTTGTTTGTCTTATCAGACAGATAATTTGCCTAAACTCAAACTTCAAACTCTGTCTCCTCTGGGGTAGACAGCAGCTGAAATCTCTTCAGTTTTTTATCCTTAATTTGACTGCTTGGAGCCTCATATCTGTAGAGATGAAAGTTTAGCCAGAACTGTGGGCTCAGTGTTTACCCAGAATTTAGGACTCTCCATCTGTGTCTCTTTTCTGAAAATTTCCTTTATTTTCTAGCTGCTATAATTGTATCAAACTCTGTTTTCTGGTCTCTTAAGCCCATGAAATAGCATTTCTATCTGACATTTATCCATCATTGAATAATACCAACTGGTGCCTCCCCTCAGGCAAAAAGCTATAAAAAGAGGAGAAGCTCACCTAGTGCCATTTTTTTCTTCCAAGTGTCAACTCTCATTTAATTTCTACATGCTTTGGTCATTCTCCATTGCCTTTAAAATTTATCAAGACTTTATAGATACTATTCTTTGGAAGGATTGACCTAACAGGATCTACTCTGACATTTCTGGAAGTATAACCTCCTTGTCATCTTTTCTTAACCTGGCATTGAGAACCCTATGCCTATTTTGGTCCTAACATATTTTTTCCATCCTTATTTTCTATCATTATACTCTATGTAGCCATGTTTCTGCTAAAATGATCTACTATTTCATCCCTTAGAAAATTTTATACATTCCTACTTTACATCTTTGTTTACATTGCTCCCTCCAACCCATATTCTATCCCACACTTTCCTTCTTCTGAAATCTTTACCATTTTCCAAGTCTCAGCATAATACCTATCTGGTTTTTTCCATGAATTCTTTCCTAATCAGTTTTGCCCAACCTGACCTCCTAAGGCTTTATTATCTACACCATTCACTGGACATTGAATTGTACACTGCCTCATAATATTACATTTATTGTAGTCACTCAACCAAAAATATGATGCATTTCTTTTCAACCTAATTAGATTATACTCTCTTTGAGGCAAAGAACCTTATATTTATATTTCATTTTTCTCCTACAAGCTCTAACTCAATCTTCAGTTCAGTAAATAGTCTGTTTAATAAATTTTTTAATGAATGAGTTATTCCAATATTAATATTTATGTAAAGTGCCTAGAACATGATCTGGCACATAGCAAACAATAATCAAGGTTATCTGTTGTTATTATTATCTGAAATCAGCATAGTAATGTATGAATGTTCTTCTTACTCCACCCTCTGATTATTATTTCTGTTCTTGGGTTCAAAGACTTGTGGAATCTTAGAACTAGAAAATATTTAAGGTCATCTGATAAAATCCTTTTATTCTGGCAGATCACAGGGCTTAAGCAGATTCAAGGCTATCTGGTCCATCTCACTGTATCAGAGGTTTTCAATCAAGGAGGCTATAAACAGCCACTCCTATTATTTGGTCCAAAATGTCCACAGCACTAAAGGTCGAGAAATCCTGTGCTACAGTAGCTCTATACCCTTTATTTAACCTTCCTTAAAAAAGACTTACCTGCTTTCCTGGTTAACATGTTCTGTTGTCACAGAGAGTTCTTAATACCAGACTTATTCTTTATTTGGTATTTCTTTATTTATATTTCCCTGTTTTGAGAAGAACATTTAAATAGCTAAAATATGGGGTGCCTGGGTGGCTCAGTTGGTTAAGCAACTGCCTTCGGCTCAGGTCATGATCCTGAGTCCCACATCGTGCTACCTGCTCAGCAGGGAGTCTGCCTCTCCCTCTGACCCTCCCCCTTCTCATGCTCTCTCTCTCTCTCATTCTCTCTCTCAAATAAATAATAAAACCTTTTTAAAAAATAGCTAAAATACATAGGAAAAATAACTTTTGCAGAATAATTTTCCTCATACTTGTGACTTTTAAAATTATTTGGGAGAGTTTAGAGAGTGGGACATACACCTCGTGAGTGGACACCTTTGTTTTGCGCACGATGAAAGAGTAATTTAAAAATGGATGATGTAGGGGCACCTGGTGGGTCAGTTGGTTAAGTGTTCGACTCATGATTTCAGCTCAGGCCATGATCTCAGGGTCTTGAGATCAAGCCCCACATTAGGCTCTGTACTTGGCAGGGAGTCTGCTTAGGATTCTTTCCCTCTCCATCTCCCTCTCCCTCTGCCCCACCCCCTGCTCATGCACTCTCGCTCTCTCTCAAATAAATAAATAAATAAATCTTTTAAAAAATGAAAAAAAAAAATGGGTGATATTGAGAAAGGCAAGTCTTTTGTTCAGAAATGTGCCCAGTGTCATACCATGGAAGAGGGAGGCAAGCACAAGACTGGGCCAAATCTCCATGGTTTATTTGGGCGTCAGCCCCCTAGATTTTCTTACATGGATACCAAAAAGAACAACAGTCTTGGAGAATCCCAAGAAGTACATCCCTGGAACAACAACAACAAAAATTATCTTTGCTGACATTAAGGAGAAAAGGAAAAGAGCAGACTTGATAGCTTATCTCAAAAAAGCTACTAAGCAGGGGTGCCTGGGTGGCTCAGTTGGTTAAGTGTCTGCCTTTGGCTCAGGTCATGATTCCAGGGTCCTGGGATTAAGCCCCACATTGGGCTCCCTGCTCTGCGGGAAACCTGCTTCTCCCTCGGGCTCCCTGCTCAGCGGGGAATCTGCTTCTCCCCTCCCACTCCCCCTGCTTGTGTTCCCTCTCTCGCTGTCTCTCTCTCTGTGTCAAATAAATAAATAAAATCTTTTTTAAAAAAGCTAATAAGGAGTAATAGTTGGCCATTGCCTTACTTATTACAAAACAAAAATGTCTTATGACTTTTGTATGTGTACCATCTTTAAATTGATTTCATACACCAGAATCCAGATCTGAATGGATGATAGACTATTTCTTTTGGACAGTCCTGATTTAAATAAGTTGGGCTCGTGGTTAAATGAATAGGATCAGCTTTTTGAACTTTGATAGTAATTCTGGTTCAGCAAGTGCTGTCATGTTTTCCCCTTCTAAAAATATGATTGGAGTTGATTAGTAATGTTCAGCTTTTCACAGAGATGGTAAATGCCATCTCCTAACTTATAGGAGATTGGTTTTATATTTAGATTTATGTAACTGGTTATAGTAATGTATTTAAATACAAAGGAAATCCCTTCACCGTCTCATAGAACAGCAAGACTCAGCTATGTTTCAAGTTGTGTTCGTTAGCCTGTGAAAGGCAAGGGCTGAAGTTAAGTTGGCAATGTCCACTTTATCTTTTTGGTCTTAACTATGCCGACTTAATTAAAATTCCCTGCCTCTTAAATGTTGCCTTTTGCTTAATGAAAGGCATTTTAGTGTGGTTTATGTATAATATCAAAAAAAGAATATTTGGGGTGCCTGGGTGGCTCAGTTGGTTGAGCGACTGCCTTCAGCTCAGGTCATGATCCTGGATTCCCTGGATCGAGTCCCGCATCGGGCTTCCTGCTCAGCAGGGTGTCTGCTTCTCCCTCTGACTCTCTCCCCTCTCATGTGCTCTCTCCCTCTTTCTGTCTCTCAAATAAATAAATAAGATCTTTAAAAAAAAAAGAATATTTAACACTTCTCACATTTCATAGATGATCTGTAAGGTCAGATGCTTTTAAGATTCAGTGTGACGATATAGCAGCCGACTTGGCTTGTGAATTCTTTACTAAGTCAGACCGAGTTATAATTCAGGATTGTCTTCTAAACAGCTATTCAAAAACATAACTGTGGCATTACCATATCTGTATGATTGGTAATGGTGTTTTTGACAACTCCTTAGAAGGGTTAAAGTAGAGGAGGTATATCAGCAGCACAAATTTGTAAGTTATGTGATAAGGCTTAAGATAATTAAAAACAAAATCACAGGGGCGCCTGGGTGGCTCAGTCGTTAAGCATCTGCCTTCGGCTCAGGTCATGATCCCAGGGTCCTGGGATCGAGCCCCGCATCGGGCTCCCTGCTCCACGGGAAGCCTGCTTCTCCCTCTCCCACTCCCCCTGCTTGTGTCCCCTCTCGCTGTGTCTCTCTCTGTCAAATAAATTAATAAAATCTTAAAAATAAATAAATAAATAAAAACAAAATCACAGATCAAAAAATTTGGGAGAAATTGTAAAAATTATCTGGAGAGAGAGATGTTACAAAGTTAATAGAGGCTTATCAAATATCTTAGTAATAGTAGTTGTTGTACAACCAGCTCTTTTAGCTTTATATGCAGTGTTCCCTGATGACCGTCAGGGCAGAAAAGGGGTTAGATGAAAGAAAAAGCAGGTTACTTGTCACCAACTGGAGTGGGAGAGAGAGAGACAGAATGGCAGCCGTCATTCTGCCTTCCTCTGTAGCTGCTTTTCTCCATTCTTCCTTATCTCTCTGCCCAATTTCCAAGGCGAGGAGTATATGCAGTGATGACGGCTATTGACTGAACATTGTTAGGAACAAAGGCCTGTGGAGAGGTCAGTACATTTCCTCCTCTAGCAAGAGATACCAGAGCTGTGATCTACTTTTCAAAGTTTCCTGAAGGGAAGTACAAATATCCCGGTCTGAGTTGGGGAGAAAATCCCAGATGCACAGGTTGCTTTGTCATGAGTTTGCAGATCATCATTTTCTTTGCCCTTACTAGTTCTGTTCCCTTCTCTCGGTGGTAGTCATATGGTGACATCTTGCCTCAGAAGCCATTTTTATTCTTATTTAGTGTTTGCTCTCTAAAGATGGTTCTTTTCTGGGTGACTCAGAGCTACAAGGTTCAAGGTCACAATGAACTTTAGCCCCAATTCGTGTGTAACCTAGGTGCTTACGCAAATACATGCATGTGGCTTACTTAAATCTTATTTATGTTTAGTCTGTCTTGCCATTCTTTTTTTTTTTAAGGATTTTATTTTTAAGTAATCTCTACACCCAATGTGGGGCTCGAACTCACAACCCCAAGATCAAGAGTTGCACACTCTACCAACTGAGCCAGCCAGATGCCTCTGTCTTGCCATTCTTTTTAGCAAGAAAAGATTAAAGCCTGATCCTACTCCCAACTTTTCTGCATGTTTTCAGGGTTTATTTAAGATATTTCTTTGACTGTCAATAAAATGTAATAATATTTCTAGCTTTTTCTCAAATCAGATTTCTGATTTTTTTTTAAATTTCTAAATATTTTATTTATTTATTTGAGAGAGGAGAGTGAACATGAGAGAGTGAGCACCAGGGGGAGCAGAGGCTGAGGGAGAGGGAAAAGCAGACTCCTTGATGAGCAGGGAGCTGGCCACAGGACGGGATTCCAGGACCTTGGGATCATGACCTGAGCTGAAGGCAGATGCTCAACCAACTGAGCCACTCAGACGCCCCTGATTTCTGATATTTTAAACATTTCCTTTTTTTTCATTTGGGCCTAATAAAATTCTTTATATGAACTTTCAGATGAAAGAAAGAATTTCTGGGGCGCCTGGGTGGCTCAGTCAGTTAAGCGTCTGCCTTCGGCTCAGGTCATGATCTCAGGGTCCTGGGATCCAGCCCCGCATCAGGCTCCCTGCTCAGTGGAGAGTCGGCTTCTCCCTTTCCCCCTCTCCCTGCTCGTGCTTTCTCTTTCTCTCTCTCAAATCAATAAATAAAATCTTTTAAAAAAATTATCTAATATACCCAAAAAAGCCCATTGAATTGTACACTTTATTTTTTTTGAAGGGGGGAAGGGGCAGAGGGAGAGAGAGAATCCAAAGCAGGCTCCATGCTCAGCAGCTTGGAGCCCAGCACGGGGCTCAATCCCACAACCCCAGGATCATGACTGGAGCCAAAACCAAGAGTCCGATGCTTAACTGACTGAGTCACCGAGGCGCCCCTGAATTGTACACTTTAAACAAGTGAATTGTATAATGTAAATTATATCTCAGTAAAGCTGTTTTTAAAAACAAGACAGGAAAAAAAAACCCAACAAGACAGAGATTGGCTGAATGGATTTAAAAAATAAATAAAAGACACCTGGGTGGTTCAGTCGGTTAAGGTCTGCCTTCAGCTCAGGTCATGATCCCAGGGTCCTAGGATTGAATCCCACATGGGGCTCCTTGTTCAGTGGGGAGCCTGCTCCTCACTCTGCCTGCCATTCCCCCTGCTTGTGCATTCTCTCTCTCTCTCTGACAAATAAATAAATAAAATCTTAAAAAAACAAAACAAAACAAAAATCCAACTATATGCTGTCTGTAAGAGATTCACTTTAGCATCAAAGACAAAAATAGGTTGAAAGTGAAAGGATGGAAAAATATATTCCACATGTATTAGTTCCCTATGACAAATTACCACAAACTAAGCAGCTGAAAACAAAGTCTCTCTTTGTCAAATAAATAAATAAAATCCTAAAAAAAAAAAAAAAAAAAAGTCTGCCTTCGGCTCAGGTCATGATCCCAGGGTCCTGGGATCAAGCCCCGCATCGGGCTCCCTGCTTGGTGGGAAGCCTGCTTCTCCCTCTCCCACTCCCCCTGCTTGTGTTCCCTCTCTCCCTGTCTCTCTCTGTCAAAAAATAAATAAAATCTTAAAAAAAAAAAGAAAGGAAGGAAGAAAGAAAGAATTCCTTTGCAGAAACATATCCTGAATACCACATTGAAATCTAACCCCTCCCCCTACCATAAGAGTTAGTTGTGAGTGTTGTGTAAGGCAGTCAGAACCCAGTGATCAGCAACACCCTGAAAGAAGGGAATTAGAACCTTAAGTGGCCTTGATTGATTGGATAAGTATACAGACAAAAACAAAATGAATTTTAATCAACATGAATATAGATTCACTCAATCAAAGAGAATCCTGTAGACGCGAGTCAGGATTTGGTTTGAGGATGGCAAAAAATACATATCTGAGGTTCTGGCTGACTGAAAGTTAAATGAGAATTAAATAATTTAAATGCAGAATGACTTCCTGAAGCTACCATGTCCCTACAATTACCATTGCTCTTAATAACTAACTTTCCTGTATACTTACCATGACCCTACACTGCTCTAAGCCCTTTGCATATGACCATTGATTCAGGAGAGACAAACAAGATTATAGGGAACACAGTCTGTCTTTCTTCCCTGAGGTCAACTGAACACCAAACAGTAACATAGTGGGGGCCCTTCCTACCAGCTCAGATGCGAGGTTCCTTGCAGCTCTACCTGTGCTAATGTTTTCACCTCAGGTAAAATTCCAGTCTCTGTGTCTGTCAAGTCTTGAGGGAATAATAGCTATTTCTTAGAATAGGAATAGATGCTTAATGTTACAAATAGGATAGGTAGAGGGCTTTTTTTTTTTTTTTTTTTAGTTTGAGGCAAAAACTTTTAAATTTGGCTTGTACCGGGGCACCTGGCTGGCTCAGTGAGGGGACCGTGTGACTCTTGAGCTTGGGGTCCTGAGTTCGAGCCCCATGTTGGATGTAGAGATTACTTAAATAAATAAAAACTAACTAACTAAATAAATAAATAAATTTGACTTGTATTTAGAATTGTTTTAATAACATTTATTGGAGGCCTACACATATGCATAGGAAGAAGTTGTAAAAATTCTGCTTTTCATAGGAAAATTTAACATCACTTCAATATACAATTTTCTGATTTGAACTCACATATTGAAGTTAGAGAAGTGGAAATATATTTTAATGCATTTAGGTGAAGTTGTCAAACATTCTCATGTCTGTGGAATAGATTTTTAAAAATCTTTTAATACCCTAAAACAGTGCCACTAGCATGATTTTAATATGTATTATATTGTGAGCAAGAATCATGTGTAAAAATAACAAACATTACTTTCCTGGTTTTTAGATGTGTGGTTTTTAACAACAGAGGAGTGGCAGGGGAGAATCTCTTGGTAAGTAAATTTAAATTAATGACAACAGCTTAATTTTTAAAAGAATGATTTCTAGTTTTATAATGAAAAGCACGTTCTTCTTTATTTAAAATAACTGTGTGTACAATACAAGTTCACTGTGGAAAAATACAGATAAGCAACTACAAGAAAAGGAAATTTATAAGACTCGTAATTATACAACCAGGGGAATTCCCTTAGCCTATGTATATCCAAATTGTCCATCATAATTAAAATATATGTAATGTATTTCTGTTTTTATAGAAGCTAAAGTTCTATTTTATAACTTTTATACTTACTATATTTTAACATCAGTAGATACTAATCTACATTATTTTTAATGCAAAACACATTTTCTTTAAAAATTAACTGATACAAAACAAATCAGCCAATATGATGATACTTTTTTTTCACTTAAGAAATTTACTTTTGTCATGAAATGGATTGACTGTATGGTATATGCCTATTTGACAGCCAGAGTTTACATAGAGGAAATATTATTTAAATCTTTTTATTTACTCAGTTTTTTTTTGCTCTAACCCATTAAGTTTTTGCTAGAGGTTCTCCCACCTCTTAGAAAATCATCATTCTATCTGATGTTAAACCTGTGAGTTGGAGTGAGAACTCATATTGACTGAAATTTTTTTGAAGATTTTCAACTGTTAATCCCTTACCACTCCAATAGGTCAAAGACAATTCTACCAGAATTGAAAGAAACCTTTTTTTTTTTTGAGTCATTGATAGAGAATGATATTAAGACTATAAATAATTAAGTCACGCTGGAAATAAAAATGTGTAATCATGTTGCCAATGTCAGTACTTTATGAAAACTTAGGGGGAAAAGGGCTCTTGCACTTTGCTTTATAGGGACTTGGGTCCTGGAGGGAATCAAGATCAATATGATTTCAAAAATTAAAGTTATAAAATGTTTATGTTCTCTCTCAAGCACCTCACAATACATAGTTTGATGTGAAGGTTCACATTTCCTTTTTTAGTCCAGCCCTTTAGAAATCTTGTAGACAAATGGCAGGTACTCTTAAAGGGAAAGATTTGAATTTGTCACTGTGACCCTGGACCCACGAAATCATTTCTGAGCAGCTCTTGTCTGCTGTGTCTCCTTCTAGGTGCTTCCAGGATACAAAAATGGGAAGGGCATTCTGAGGCTCTCAAGAAAATAATGTGTTGCAAAGTAAAGTCCATTCAGTCTCATAAAGTGAGGGACAAAGATCTGTTCATTCAGCAAAGCTGTTTTGTTTGCCTATTAAATTAGACACTAGACAAGACAATATGGTGAGGAGTGTACACGATATTAGATGCAACCTTAACCTTTAGGAGCTTTCACTTAAGTTGTAGGACAGAGTTTGGATATTTGAAAATATATGCAATACAGTGTGCTAAATGTAACTGTATGAGGACGTATAAAGATTGTTGAGCCTAAAGAGAGGGCATAACGAACTGCCTGGGGGAGGTGGGAGAACATCGTAGTGGAGGTGAGTTTCAGTTGGATCTTGAAGGCTGTGATATTGAACCAAGAGAGGGAATAGAGAGGCTTTCTCAGCATAAAGAGTGAGATATGTAAGAGCATGTACTTACTGGTGGAGGGATAATGATGATGATGATTTTATTGAATGTTTACTGAGTCCTTAGAATGTATCAGTTATGTCTTTTTGTATTTAATGTTCAACCGTAGTAACAACGCAATGGTTTAGTTAAGCATAGCCATCATCACCCCCATTTACCAGCTGAAGAAAGTGAGGCACAAGTAGGTTAAGAACATGCCCTAGCCACAAAAAAAAAAAAAAAAAAAAAAAAAAAGAACATGCCCTAGCCAGGAAATTCAGACCCAGGATTCAAACCCATGTAGTCTGACTGTGTGCTTATGGTCTTGACCATTATGTTATACTCCCTCTCATTCAGGAAGTGACAGGGATTCTTCTAGAGGGGTTGGGCCAGATTTTGAAGATTTTTTTGGTGTAAAAAAATTTCAGTTTTAGAGATTTCGGGTGCTTTGAGATCATCCAGGTGGAAATTTCTAATAAACAGTTGGGTATCGTAGACTGGGCCTCAGGAGAGATGTACAAGCTACAGAAAGAAACAGACTGTTGGTACAAAGTGAAACCTGGAGCTCAGGAGTGGTCGAGATTGCTCAGGGATGGCTTGAACAGCAAAAGGGGGAGGTCTATGGATAGAATCTTGAAACACAACACAAGAAAGGAGGAGAGAAAAGAAGAGCAAGAAGCTTGAAAAACCTTCTACCCTTAGCATAGTTAAATGGAAGTTAATTGGAAGTTAACTTTGAAAGAATGCAACAAACCCAGTAACTTTTACCCATCACATTAATTGGTTTTTTGAAAAATCTCCAAGAATATCTCGAGTTCTTACAAAGGGATAGTATACAGATAAACACTTTAAAATTTTTATTTTATAAAACTTCTATTTTATATTAAAGAATTTAGAGTTCTAAATGAGAGGGTAAGAGTAGCTTGGTCTCTGGAGTCTTATACAGAGCACTGGGTTGGATCCTGATGAACTAGTACCTCCAGCAATTATCCGTATCACAAAGGCTAACGTAATCTAATTTTAAAAAGAATAAAGATGTAAAATGACCGAAATGTAATTACAATTATATGCTTGAAAACAACTGCTTTAAAAAAGAAATTTAAGGGAATAAATTAATTATAATTTAATATATACTTCTTGTACCCTAATAGATCACAAAAATGAGATGCCAGTATTGATTATTAGAGCTATCTTTGATATTTAGTTCCCTTGATAATCCTCTTCTTTCTGCCCTTAGAGCTGTGAACAATTACTGTTTCAGACTAGAGGAACTCTTATTTTATTTATACCTCACCTTGTTCCAGAAAGGATTTAATGTAGCTCAGACCCAAAGTAAGTAAGACCTTCCTGTGGGCATAAAAAAGAACAAAAGATGAATCAGCAAAGATCAAACAGGAAGGCACATTCTCTAACTGAAATTAACCTAAAAGAGCTAGTAAAGATGAAATGGAAGTTAGAGTGAGCAGTTCTCCTAGGAGTGGAAGAAATGCAAAAGGAAAAGTTTTGCTGAAGTATGTTGGTGATATACTTAGAATTCATAGGGATTACTATGACTCCTGAAGAGGAGAATAAGAAAAGAATTTTCCACTACCATATTGTCCTGATTTCCAATTACACATTGCAGAATTGTGGAAAAGCCAAAAGTCTTGCTCAATAGCAAGTGAGAAGCCGGCACATTGCCCTCCCTGGGGCTGTTAGCTATAGGAGACGGAGAGTGTCGTAGAACAATATTCTCTCAGTGAGAGAAGCGGCGTGCTTATTACATTCTGACACCAGTGCTTATCTCATCCTGGCCTGGCACTTGGGATCCTCTAATCCTGAAAAGCTCATTTTTTAGATGAGGACGCCTCTGGACAAGTGGGGTGACAGGCCTGAGGTCATAAAACTGATTAGTGGTCTCCGGGCAGGAACTCAGGCTGTTTGTTGGAATGTCTTTACCTTTCAGCACTGGCTTTAAGTCAAGTCAGGCTGAAAATCCGGGGTTAGAGATCAAAGGGGTTTTCAACAAGAGGGTTCCTACCTCAACATCAGATAATGGATGGTTCCCTAAGGACGCAGATCTACAGAAATCGGCTCTTGTTTCCTACTGAGCTTTTCCACCTTAGCTTTGGAAGCTAATGGGATGGGAAGGATATAGTGCTCTCTCCCCTCCTGAGTTCCATTTTCTGAAGTAGGCATTCAGAAGGGATTAAGGACCTTCCTTATGGTCTAAGGGGAGGAATATAGAGGGCAGGGCCAGTCAGGACACAGTTCATTTGTCAGACTCACACCTTCAGGCACTCTCTTTCCCATACCCGATACCTCCCTACTAAACATCATTGCACCCCATCCAGGTCTGCTCTTTCCTAAATGCTCCAAAAATTACCTCTCCCTCGTTCCTCCACCCCAATCAGAACAACCCAGGAAGGCTTGATCTCAGCCAGATATGGGTATGAATGTATTGAATCCTTTCGAGTTTTTTTTCCTAACATTGCTAGGTCCAGTTCAGTAATATTGACACTTGTAAGTGGTGGGTACACAAAAGACTGTACAATTCTCTGTAGTTAAACAATTTTCAAATAAGGAAGAATGTTTAAATAATTGAAGAATTTCTAGGAGTAGTAATAATAATTTAATAGCTAGCTACCATTTATTGAGTGCTTTATCGGGGCCAGGTGATTCTATAAGCTATGCAGTGTTTGGCAGGACTTCCCTGTGTGCTGCGTCACTGCAGCCTTCTCCTCTCTTGGCTCAGCTCTCACCCTATTTCTTTATTCTTCTGCTCTCACCCTGTTTCTCTATTCTTCTATTCTCCACGCAGTTGGTTCTCAGCCCTGGCTGCACATTAGAATCCTCTGGGAAGCTTTAAAAACACTGATCCCTGGACCCCATTCCCCCCCACCCCCACCCCCGAGATCCTGACTCATTTGGTCCGGGGTGGAGTCCAAGTGTCTGTGATTTGTCTCGACACTCCGCAGTGAGTCTAAAGTACAGGCAGGGCTGAAGACTGCTGTGAGGTGGCAGCCCCCCTTCCTGGCGAGCCACCTCTGGCTCCAAACCCAGCCAGGGTGGGGCAGGAGACTTGCTTCTTAGGCGCTTGCACCAAGCATAACTCCTGTCTACCTGGCTGGTCTGCTCCAAGCCGCTAACAAAACCGTGGTGTCACTGTGGAGCATGAGTGCGTATGCGTGTAGCCATGTAGAAATGAGTGGGAATGGGGCACCTAGGCCATCTTGGCCTCAGAGGTGGCCAGGATATTTCTTGGGGTCCTTTGTTTTGTGGCTGGTTATTTTAAGAAACGATCAAAGTCCCGCGCACTTTGAGACATTTGGTCATTTTACCTGTCTATCAACGACTAGAAAAAATGACTATTCATTAAAGTGCCAGTTTGATTTATGTGTGCCTCCTGTTGTTTTCTCTGACTTCCTATTTAATGACATCTTCTAAAAATAAGATCAGTTTTC